TACATGCTGGTGTTTGTTACAGCTGTGACACTGGGAGGTTGTCCCACGGTGCGAGGTGTGTCCCACAGTGTGGTCTCTTGGACTGAGAGTTGGCAGCTGAGCCTTTCTCATGTGCAGGTTCCTGGCCTCACCCCAAACCTCCAGAGTCCATCTCTAACAAGCTGGCCAGGCCCCCTTGACTGCACGAAGCCCGAGAGGCCATGGGGACAATAGGAAGAGCAGGGCTGGGGCAGAGCTAGGGAACAGCAGTGTGTGGGGGCTGGAGGAAAAGCCTGTGTGTTTCAGGTGAGCAGGAAGAGTGGAAACGGAGGGAAACCGGGATTGTAGCATCAGGAGAGGGAGGAAACCGGGATTGTAGCATCAGGAGAGCCAGGGCAGGTGGGTGTCTGCAGAATGGGCCACCTGCAGCAGAGGGAGCCAGTGGGTGGGGCTGACAGCAGTGGTAAATAGAGGAAATGAAGTACAGATTCCGCCTGTGCCTGACATTTCCAAGCGCAGACCTTCGAGGGGCAGGATGTATGAGCATCAGCAACAAGGTGGAATAGTTCTCTCAGTGGGTCGAGTGTGGCGTCTCATGTGCAGATACTGTTCTTCTGCAGAGTCATCCGTGATGCTTAGGGGACGTCTTTCCCTCAGCACCTTCTCCAAAGCTAGCCTCTTCCTACGGGCGGCGTTCACATGAGCCACACGAGCCCTGAGTGGGAATGGTCTCTAAGTGACAGTCACCCTGAGCCCTGAATGGAAGTGGTCTCTAAGTGACAGTCACCCGCTCTGGTAGGGAGTCAGATGCTTTTAGGTCCTTTCTGAATCCCCAGGAAGTCACAGGAGACCCTCAGTTTACTTGGACCAGGAGCATCACTTGAACCGCGCAGAGAGCTGGCCCGTGTGACGCGCATCAAGACAGCCCTTCCTGGTTCTGTCCCTTTCCCTGCAGGCTGAGAAGTTCGGTGACTCCTTTGTCTTTGAGGGCATGCTGAGTGAGCAGGTGAAGGCCGGCATCCAGCAGGCAGTGAGTAACTCACAGGGCCCTCGCAGTTCTCTGCTGCGCGTGGAGAAAGCCACGTGCCAGTGCCCCTCCTCCCCCAGGCAGAGTGGGCGGGCTGGTCTGGGAAGGGACAGTGGGTGGGTTGGTCGGGAGGGGGAATGGGCCGGTTGGCCCGGGGTGAGGAGGAGGCATGGGAGGGAAGCCTGTGGACAAAGAGGAGCTCGTGCTGGGATCACCTGAGGCCGAGCACCTGGCAGAGGGCCTACCTGTCCCTGAGCTTGGACCAGCACCTTCGGTATGTGGTCAGCTCCGCTCACTCTGGGACGCCCGTTTGAAATGCCCTCTGTTGTCCCACACCCCAGACTTAGATGATTCATCTGCTTGTTCTGATGGCTTCTGTGCCTGTCTTTTGTGAGTTTATCTCACCTACAGTGACTTGTGCAGGTGTGTCCATTGCCTCTCCTTTACCAGATCTGCTCCTCGATGTGGGGGAGGGGGTGGAATGTGTGTGTCACTCATCACTGGGTTCCAACAGAGCAGTTGTCACTCATGATCACTTAGTAAACATTTGTCAGAAATGGAAGGATGCTGGTGGGTGTCCCCTGTAGGAGCACTTCATGTTTGAAAGCTGCTGGGCTCAGACCTGGCGTGACCCATCCCGTGTTGGAGTGTCACTCTCTTCTTGGCAGGAGAACGCTGGCCTGGTCGTTGGGTTGAGGCAGGTTCACAGGGGGTGAGCTATTCAGGAGAGCGGTCTGGGGCTGGCTGATCAGATAAGATAAGAAGGGAACACGTCCCACCTCGGTATTTTGTGTCTGCTTTTGAAAAGAGCAGTTGTGCACCTGACTTGGGAATCGAGGAAGCAGGAAGCAAGATAGCCGTGGAGGGTGAGAGCTGATAGGATCAGGTATCGGTGCAGTTTTCCCCCTGCTCATGGGGGTCAGAGTGCGGGGATCCTGGGGCTCGGAGCGGGAATATCTGCACTGTCCTCCAGCCCTTCAGGTCCTGGTCTTTTGAGGTCTGACTTGGATTAAGAAGTAACAGCGGTCCTGACATCCCGCCCTCCCCACGTTGGCGTTCGCATCTTGAACCTCCGCAGTGCGGATAGACCCCGAGCAGGGGGTCATGCCCCGGGGCCGGCAGTTCTAAGAAAAACTTAGTTTAGAGTGGACGGGACTTTTCATCTGGCAAAGCCGCTTCTTGAAACAATTGCAGATTAGAAGGACACGTGGTCAGTGCTTGATTATACTGACTGGTGCCCAGGAATGCGCTGTATTCTTACATGGGAATTTCACTGAGAACCGAGCAAGAAGTATTGACAAATTTCACTTTGCCTTAATGTTATAAATAAATATTTGTACTGTGTTTGAAAAGGCATGCGTTTCTCTCAGGCATTCTGTTAAGTAGCCCAGGCACCTGGCTTAGGATTAATGAAATAAGCTGTCAGACTTGACTGTATTCTAAGGATGAATTTGTTCTTACCTTTTTTTAAGCCCAATTGTCTACTTTCCATATTTGTATTGGGTGCTGAACAAAGCATTTTACTGCCTGCCTTCCATTCCGCTTGGTTCCTTCGGTTGCTAGATTCTCCTGTTTTATTTATAAGTCACGGATTGGAGCAGACCTGCAGTTTCTCCTGTTCACTGGTGCTGTACGGAAATCCTCCCAGGCTGTTTTATAGGGGTGACAGCCACATTTATACTGCGTCTCAGGAAACGTCCGTCTTTCTGTGTTTTTTATTATTTTTAAAAATATATCTTTATTGATTTCAGAGAGAGGAAAGGAGAGAGAGAGAGAGAGAGAGAGAAACATCAACGATGAGAGAGTCATTGATCGAGCCCACAACCCGGGCATGTGCCCCCACTGGGAATCGAACCCCGATCGCCCAGATCCCAGGTTGACGCTCAACCGCTGAGCCACACCCGGCCGGGCACGTCCGTCTTTCTAATTTGCTTGTCTACACGCGTTTGATTCTTAAGGGGGGTTGTCAAGCCGTCAGCCTGCTGTCTGCACTTGGGCGTGCTAGCTCCCTCTGTCCGTCCCGGCACCGCTTTACCCTGACCGCGTGAGAAGCACCGTTACCGCTCTGGCTCGGATCGCGGCACCTTGCTCCTTCCCCTCGTCTCGAAGCTGCTACTCCATGTCTGGTTACGTCCCCAGGGAGAGGCGGGAATTGTGGCCTTTGCTTCCCGACGTCCGTTTCTCAGGGGATCTCAGTGTCCACCAGATCCTAGTTACATCATAATTGGCTGCTGGCTGCCTGGTGCAACTGTTTCAACTTAAACCCAAGACAGTTGCTAGGAGATGTTGACTAGAAGTAGGTCAGCAAAGTCCCTGCCCTGTATATGAGGGAATTTCCCAGATTCTGGAAGTGCCTCAGTGGAACAGGAAACGTGGTGAGCAACACACCTCACCCCAAATTTCTCTTTTCAGGATGAGGGTTGCCATGGAGGGCAGGCCGCTCACATGCTGCTGGTCCCTGCACACTGCACACCTGGGCCTTTTCCTGAGAAAGAAAGGGACTGGGAGAGGTCAGGATCGCAGCACGACCTTGAGTAATTGGCTCGTGGATGACTCTCAAAGTTGTTTATCAGTTCCTAAGCGTGGTGGGCTGGCATTAATTTCAAGACACAAGCAGGAGTTCAAGTTTTTAAAAACATGGAGTTAGCCCTGGCCAGTGTGGCTCGGTTGGTTGGGCGTTGTCCTGTGCACCCAGCAGTGCACCTTCTAAGGAGCCTGGGAATACACGCCTTCTCAGTGCATATTTACCTGGCCACGGTAGTGCTCTGTGATATGCAGTACTACTCTTTGTTAAAGACTTATTTACATGTAAGTCCTTATTTTTGGTGTTCTAGGAAAGGTATTGTGTGGATGGAGACCGTGGTGAGTTTTGCTGCGCCGCTTTCCTGCAGCCATCGCAGCTAACTAACCTGGCTCGTTCTGTTTCCTTTGAGGTCGCGGCTGCTCCCTGGTGGTTACCTGTGAAAGGCGCCAACTGGAGACACCCGGAGGGGCCCAACTCCACCGTCCTGCACAGGTGAGGCTGCCAGTTCTTCCCCAGGTGACATGTTTCAGTCCAAACAGATGTGCTGCTGCGAGGAACCCAGTGCTGTCATCGTCTGCGAAAGGGTGAGAATGGTAAACGAACTGGTTCATCGGAAAGTAAAGTGGCAGGAAATAACGTATTTACATGAAGGCCTGACACTGCGCCAGCTCACAGGAGGCTCTTATAAGTGGCCTCTTTCTTTCTTCATCCATCCTGTCAAAAAGGGCTCATGTAGGTTTTTCCCCCTTTGATGGGCCAGTTACCCATCTCGTGACACATTTGCTCTTTGCCTCCTGTCCGCTGCTCCTCTCCGAGTGGGTCAGTAGGAGGACTCTCTGGATACGCAGTGTGTCTGCCAGGTGGCCGCTGTGGAAGCTCAGGCCTTGGCTCAGGGTTCCTCTTACCCCAATCCTGGGCTGACACACTTTTAAGCTACCATCTGACTATAGATCCACCAAGCAGCAAGTCGGTCAGCAAGTCTCCAAGGGCAGGGAAGTAATTATCTCCACAGAAATAGAGCAGCACTCAGCCCTGAGGTGGGACGTCTGGGCCAGGACTCAGTGTCTCAGTCCCCAGGAAAGCTTCCTCTTGATCTACTTTCAGGCAGCACCCAAGCCCCTGTTTTGACCACGTTCCTGGTTATTGCCCTCATCAAGGGGCCAGGTGTGCCGGGAGCTAGAGCAGGTGTTGCTGTCATAGTGAGTGGAGGGTGACTGGCGCTTTGCTGAAGCTGGTTCCCGAGCCCTCCCTCTTCCCTCCTGTGTCCCCAGGCCTGACCACCCGGTTTTGCACGTCTCCTGGAACGATGCCGCGGCCTACTGTGCATGGGCGGGGAAGCGCCTGCCCACGGAAGCTGAGTGGGAGTACAGCTGCCGGGGGGGCCTGCGTGACAGGTACGGGGCCATCCCGTCTGAGCCTGTGCCAACCTCCTGGGTAGAAAGTCGACCTGACAGCCACAGCTCTTTGTCCTGGGCTTTCCTCATGGTCACGAAGTTGCTGCAACAAAATCAGTGGGTCACTAGGTGTCAGGCGGCGGGCTCTCTGCAGACCCATGGCCCCCACAGGACAGGCCCTGGTGGAACAGGCCTCCTTTGGGCTCTTGGTGGGGCCTGGCTTCCGGCATTTTTTTAGTTCAGGCGTCTCCCGAAGCCCGGCATTTCTCCACCTCTAGAGCTGCAGGACAGGAAATTCACATTGGGGCCATGTCTTATAGGAGAAGCTCCTAAAACAGTGAAGCCTTTATAAAAAGTGTGTGACAGTGCTGTCAGGCTGCGTGGAATTCCAGACCAGGGTTGTCTTCTCAGCCTCTGGACGTCCCCTTAGTTCCGGGACTTCCTCCAGGCCTCCTGAGTACCCCAGAGGTTGGGGTGGTGGGGAACTTGATGTGAGCTGGCTGTGCAGAAGTTTTAAAAAATCCCAATTAAAAGCTTTATTTTCTTTTACACATTTAAGATTTAAAATCATGTAGCTCAGAGCAAGTGAGTGGTATTCCCTCCTTCATTGCATCCCTGCCCATGACTTCAGGCCAGGAACCCGCTCATGCCCATGTGTCTCCTGGCAGACTCTTCCCCTGGGGCAACAAACTGCAGCCGAAGGGCCAGCACTACGCCAACATCTGGCAGGGCGAGTTTCCTGTGGCCAACACCGCTGAGGACGGCTTCCGAGGCACCGCACCCGTGAGTCCAGGGCTGTGGATGGAGGTGGTGGCTCCGGGAACCAGAGGTGGGAGGGACGGGTGCCCGCCTCGCTCCTCTGTGACTCGCGTCCTGTCCCACGTCCATCCACTGCGCACACAGTGGATCCTAGTAATTAACAGGCAGTCTTTTCATAACACATTTGACTGTGGGATGAAGATTAATATTCAGGCTTTGAAGTCACAGTGCTTACTGCATTTCTGCACCAGAGCGGTTTTCTGACTGAGAGGAGTAGTGGGACCGTATTGTACCTTCCTTGTCCCCAGGTCGATGCTTTTCCTCCCAATGGTTACGGTCTGTACAACATAGTGGGGAACGCCTGGGAGTGGACGTCGGACTGGTGGACCGTCCACCATTCTGCGGAGGAAGCACTTAACCCTGTGAGTAGCTCCCGGTGCATTCTGTCCCCTGGGGGGACTTCCTGTGTTTCTGAGGGGTGTACACACGCTCGTGAGTTAACCTCGGAGTTTCCCCAGAGGGATGGATATCTGTTTCTTATTTCAGCCTGGCAGCATTGTGTGTCACTGCAGGTGACGGTGGTGATACTTGAGGGACTCTGCCTGTGAGAATTTCTATTCAGTCTCCTAAGTTGATTAGAGTGAGATAAGTAACTGAAAAATCACTGACATCTTATTAATCGCTGGTGCGGTCTGCTAGATGGTATTTGTCATGTATAAGCTGCCTGACTTCCGATTGGTTGAAGTACCGATTGATTCAGGAGCATTCTTTGGAGAGAACAAGAAAGGTTACTTACTGGTTGGGTGTTGAGTCAGGGAAGTTGGCATTTAGTGGCTGTTTCCTGAACTCTGCAGTGTCAGTCTCAGGTGCCTGGGGGACCCGAGGCAGCCCTGCTTGTGTAAGTCTTCCCTGTTCTATGGGAGAGTGTTGACAGCAGCTGGTCCACTGTCTGCTTCTAAAGCCAAGGCCTCCCAGCAGAGTCTACAAAACTGAGACACTGCGTGCGGGGGGAGGGCGTGGAAAGCACTGCCTTCAAGAAAAATATCTGGATATTTTTTGCTGTGTGAACAGATTGGGATTGGGGAAAAAAACTGTAAAAATCCCATCTCTAGCAAACTAGAATTCGTCAGTCAGGTGGAGGCCAGTGGCAGTGGGCTGTCCTTTTTTAATTTTTTTAATCCTCACTTGAGGATATGCTTGTGGATTTTAGAGAGAGGAAAGGAGAGTAGGGGGCAGGAGAGAGAAACATCGATGTGAGAGAGAACATTGATTGGTTCCCTTCTGTATGTGCCCTGACCCGGGAATCAAACCCGCAACCTTTCAGTGTCCAGGACGACGCTCCAGCCGGCTGAGCCACACTGGCAGGGCTGGGCTGTCCTTTCTGTCGCTTTCTCCCACCGGTTCCCACAGCGTCATCCGTCGGGAGTGAGCCGCCGGGGTCCAGCCGAGCTGGGTCTGCCTGCTGCCCCTGTGGCTGTGGCTCACCAGGTGGGGCCTTGTGCGGGTCACTTAGCTCCTCAGAGCCGTGTGAGGAGCTGCGCGCTTGCCCTGGGCTGCTGGGTCTGGCTCCAGGCTCATTACAGCCGTGGCCGTGGCTCCTCAAACCGCGGCCACCTCCTGGGGCCGGCTGCCTGGGGATCCCCGTCAGCCTCTTACTTCACCTGCCCCAGAAGTTGTCATGGAGATGACACAAGTTAGTATTTGCACAGGACTGAACTGTGTCGCCTCATAGGAGGCGCCAGATGGAGGCTACTTGCCCTTACATTAGTCGAAGTTCATCAGAAGTTGCATGTAACAGGGCTAAAAAGTTTTCTGCATGTAAATTATACCTCAGTAAACCCGAGCTAAAATTGTTTTAAATGTAAACAGCAAATCCCTTTCTTCAGTCGGCAAAGGGTTTATTAGGCGTCCGGTGGGAGGGCAGGCGAACCTCACTCGGAGGCTGGCCTGGCCGGCGAGCAGGCAGTTAGGAAGCAGGGAACCCCGTTCAGCATGAGCAGGTGATGCGAGAGCGCCGCCCAGCATCTCAGCCACGAGGCGAGAGACGCTGAGGGCTGGGGGCTGGACCTTGGAGCACACGGGGCATTAGAGAGGGGCCGGGGGGGCGCAGGCGCGGGCCGTGGTGGCAGTGTGTGTGGAGCTCGGGCAACCACAAGGCGCTGGTCGGACTGAATGACCTCATCCGACTGCGAAGGGCAGCTCGCTCTAGACTCAGGAGCTCTCTTCCCTTCCCCCACAGAAAGGGCCCCCGTCTGGGAATGACCGGGTGAAGAAAGGAGGCTCCTACATGTGCCACAAGGTGAGTGGAGTCACCGAGCTGTGTGGTGTCTCACAGCGGGTTTACGGATCCATTGTGAATCTCAGCCCATAATGTCCTGCCGTGTCTGCTAATACAGACCTGACCCCATCGGAGCCAACAGAGTCGGTTAATCATCTCCACCTTGGGGCAGGTGTGGGGAGAGGGGCCCCAGAGCGGAGGTTGTGAGTGACCTGTTGTCAACCAGATTCCATGTCCAGTCTCGACCCTGTGAGAGACCCTGTGGTCCCATGACCCGGGGTGGGTGTGGACCTCCTCCAGCACGTCAGTCGAGGCACAGCCCTAATTGACTTGAGACTCTGCACATGTCTGGACTCTGTTGAGAGTAGGTGAGATTGTAAAGGGTGGACTTGGTGCACTGGATGGGAGCGTCCCAGGTGTGCTCTGGGGAGAAGAGTCAACCTCAGAGGGTTGCTTTTTGGGTAGCATCTGGGTCAGAGTTGGCTGTTCTTGGTGAGTCAGAGTGACGCTGGGTTTTATGAGGAACCATTTTCAGGACTTTGGATATCAACTACCATTTCTCTCGCTTCTTCTTTATATATTTTAGCGTCTCCAGCACTTCAGCATCTGTCTTTCTGCCCCTGTGAAAAGATGGCATTTTGCACATGGTTATTACAGGAAGCTTCCCAATGGTCACTCAGTCCAGATGGTAATATTACAGGATAGGGCAAAAGTAGGTTTACAGTTGAGTATGGAAAATAATACAATAATTGATAAATAATAATACAAGAATAAACTCTGTTTTTTTCATACTCACAACTGTAAACCTACTTTTGCCCCACCCTGTATTTGATAGAATTCCCCACGGGAAATGTTTTGGGCCTAGAGTTGTAACTATAAATTTAATTTAGTTAATAGCTTCAGGGTTATACAGATTATCTGTTTCTTTTTGAGTACTATCTCGCAGTTTGTGTCTTTCAAGGAATTTGTTCATTTCATCTGAGTTATTGAATATATTGGCATAATCTTTGCCTTTTCATTGGCTATTTAGACCATTTACATTTAATGTGATAATTGATATGGTTGGGTGTAAATTTGCCATCTTGAAATTTGTTTTTGTTTCCTCTGTTCTTTGTTCCCTTTTCTCTTCCTCTCATTTTTTTTTTTTTTTTTTTT